CTACTACAGCGAGAAACTGGTGAGTGGTCGCCTGGCCTGGGACCTGCCCCAGGCTGGACACCCTCTGTGGCCCCTCCAGGCCCTTCTCTCATAGTAACTCCTGCCCAGGTTAAAAACTGGCCGGCCTTCTGTTGCCTTCAGGCTGAAGTCCCAAGGCTGCCAGGGTTAAGTCTCTTGGACTGCGATGTTATCCCTTCTACACTGACTTTCATCTCAGCTTCTAGCTGCTCTGGCTGGCCACTTGGCAGGATTGAAGTTCTTCCAGGGCACCAAATTCCTCCCTCCCTTGGCCTTGGCCTAGGCTAAAATCTGCCTGGAAGCTCTCATCCCGGTGCTGTCCCCTAAAAACTTCTCTTTTGCTTCAGCTTTTAGCCCTCAGGGAGCTTTCTTGACCCAGACAGACGAGGCCCTCCAGCACATGCTCGAGAGCAGTCCTGCCCCAGCCTTGTTAGAGGCACTCAGCCCCTCCCCTCCCCAGCCTCTTTTGCTCATGTGCTCTTCTTGGGATAAGCTCCTCCGGGAGACCAGCTGGCTCTGGTTTGCTCATCATTGTATCCTAGCACCTGGCAAAGGCAGACACCCTGCAGGCGGAACTTGCCTGAGCCTGCTGGGTGCTGGGTGCTGGGGTGTAGTCCCTGCCCTGGCTCCTGCAACCCACGGTCATGGTCCCATGGCCTCGATGTCTCCCCAGGAGGCGATCCAGCTGGATGGGGAGATCCTCTTCTCGCTGTTGCAGAAGGTGTCGCCGGTGGCCCACAAGCACCTCAGCCGTCAGAAGATCGACCCGCTCCTCTATATGACAGAGTGGTTCATGTGCGCCTTCTCCCGAACCTTGCCCTGGAGCTCTGTGCTACGCGTCTGGGACATGTTCTTCTGCGAAGGTACTGGGCTGGGCTTGGGGGGAGCACTCCTGTTCCCAGCAGCCTCTCTTTGCAGAGAAACCCCCAAAAGGCTCCTTGTACTTAACTGCCCATCCCCCATGCAGGAGTTAAGATCATCTTCCGGGTAGGGCTGGTGCTGCTGAAGCACGCGCTGGGCTCCCCCGAGAAGGTCAAAGCCTGCCAGGGCCAGTATGAGACCATCGAGCGACTGCGGAGCCTCAGCCCCAAGATCATGCAGGAGGCCTTCCTGGTCCAGGAGGTACAGCCCGCGCCTGCCCCTTACCACGGGGAGGGAAGAAGACAGGTGGGGGTCCTTTGAAGGGGGTCCCTCTAACCCTCAGCCCCTGAGGGTAGGTCACCTATGCCAGGACCATTGCTAGGCGGCCCAGAACATGTGGGCGGACCTCATCCTTCTGTCTGGTGAGGAGCATGGGACACAGAGAGGCCTGGCTCTGCAGGGCCTTCTGGATCCGAGCCGCTTGGGAATAAAGAGTGCTGACCCACGGCCCCCTCTTCCTCCCTGGTACCCCATTCACAGCCTTAGCTCTTATTTCCCTTTCTTCTTTCTTTATGGATACTTGTCTCTTAGGGGCAATTAGATGGAACATGTGTGGCTAGCTTTTACACATGAGGAAATGGAGGCTTACGGAGGCAGAATCACTAAGCAACTCCCCTTAAAGTCACCCACCCAGGTGGAGCTGGAATTTGAGCCTAAGCAGCCAGGCTGCCCTGGGCAGTGGTGGAGGACAGGTTGGCAGAGAGCAGGTTTTTGTCTGTCTGGGTCTTACCCCTTCAGCCCCATAGTCAGGCAGGTGGACTCGTGAAGCTGTGGGCAGCTTTCTCCTCTGAGGCAGTGAGTCTCAAGTGTCCAGCTCACCTAGCACTCAGCACTGGGGCTTGTGACTGCAGCTTGGGACCAGACCCTCATCCTTCCTGAGGTCAGTGTTTAGTGGCCAGGGCTGGGGGATGCTGAGAAAGACTGGGGGCCCAGGCTGGGAGGCAGAAGGGGAAGGTCCTTCTTCTTGGCGCCCACTTGCCTGTGTCACTGCCCTGGCAGGTGGTGGAGTTGCCTGTGACAGAGCGCCAGATTGAGCGCGAACACCTCATCCAGCTGCGGCGCTGGCAGGAGACCCGGGGTGAGCTGCAGTGCTGCTCCCCGCCCAGGCTGCATGGTGCCAAGGCCATCTTGGACGCAGAACCCGGTCCCCGGCCTGCCCTACAACCTTCACCGTCCATCCGCCTGCCCCCAGATGTCCCCCTCCCTGGCTCCAAAGCCAAGCCCAAGCCACCCAAGCAGGCCCAGAAGGAGCAGCGGAAGCAGACGAAGGCGAGAGGGCAGCTGGAGAAGCCCCCAGCTCCAAATCAAGCCATGGTGGTGGCCGCTGCAGGAGATGCATGTCCCCCACAGCATGTGCCCCCAAAGGACTCAGGCCCCCAGGACTCAGCCCCTCAGGATTTGGCTCCCCAGGTCTCAGCCCACCACTGCTCCCAGGAGAGCCTGACATCCCAAGAGAGTGAGGACACCTATTTGTAACCCTGGCAGCTCAGGCCTCCAGGGCGGGGTCTCCATATACCTACACGGTTCATGAACTGACATTCCACGGCCTGCCCACCCTCTGAGGGCCAAGCCGCCTGGCCACTGGGCTGGAGTCTGGCTGGTCCAACACAGATTCTGCCTGAGCCTCCTTATTTATTTTCTTTACAGTGGCACTCGGGCTGGCCCAGCCAGGGCAGGCAGAAGCTAGGGCCTGGGGGTGGGGCCTCCTTCAGCCCCCTCCTCCTGGGGGGATGCTCCCCAGGGTTAGGGTGCTGGTGTGAGGGGAAAGGGTGGGGTGTTCTTTGTGTAAAATAGAAACATGGTTTTGTACAGAAATAAACAGCCTTGTGTAGACAGCTCGTATACCACCTTGGTCACCTTGGTGCTCAGCATCTCTTCTCTGCCCTACAGAGCCCCTCCTCCTGGGCTCCAGCCCAGCACCAGAGTCTCTCTGAGAGGTACCTTTACCAGAGCACATGCCAAGTTCCTGGCCAGCCCCCATTCTTAACCCCCATTTTCACTCACCCGATCCCCACTGCCTTATGTCTACCTTCTGCCACAGATAAGGGACACTAGGGCTGGAGCTCAGTGCTGGGCAGAGTAGGGCGTGCTCCCTAGGCCTCATCCTCACCCACCACCAAGGGGGCAGGGACTCCTAAGGAGGAGGTTTCAGGGTCTTCCTCCTTCAAGGCCTGGCCTGGATGCTACCTCAGGCTCCAGTAAGTTTCTGAGAGCTCATTCTGGGTTGGGGTCAGGGATGGGGCCCAGGGTGGAGCACCATAAATGTCCTTACAAGCTCAGCCCTCAGGGAGAGGGGCGAAGTGTGGGTCTTTGATAAAATGCCACCTTCAATTTACTGAACACTTGCCAAGTGCCAGGCTGAACTGGTCAAGTAGGCTTGATTAGCCCCATTTTACAGATGAGGAAACATGAGCTGAGCGGGAAAGGAACCACCCAGCCTCAGCCAGATTTGCACCAAGAGCCCCTCACTCAGCTTCCTCTCCTGACCAGGGCTGCAGGAGACCTGACTCTGCCCTTGAGGGCCCAGGCAGGCACTGCGGTCACAACCTAATGACTGGTGAGGGCAAGGACAGGGTGTCCCTGGGAGAGGCCCCCCTTCTGCTGAGGAAGCAGCTTTTCCAGTCAAACAATAGCGCTGTTCCTGGCAGATGACCAAGCTGGGCCAGGCCAGGCCAGAACGGGAGGGGGCAGGAGAGGGAGGAGCAGAGCCTCCCTGGGAGCTTTCAGGCTTCGCCTGGGCCTGGAACATCCTGTCCTGGTGCAGCTGGGGATACTGAGGCCTAGGGAGGTGAAGGGTCTCAAGAGACTATCAGGGTAGGCCACCCCACTTCCTGCCTCCTTCCCCTCAGCCCTGTGGTTTCCCACTCTATCTGCACCTGCCATTGATGAGATGGGCTCAGCCTTTGAGAGGCTCCTCCTTCCCCTAGTCCTCCAGGGGATAGGCCAGGATGTGGTGGCTACACAGTGTCCCACAGGAATGTGTCAAGCCCGAGAGTCCAGGGAGGAGGCTTAGCTTTGCTTCCATCTGCCTGTGGTGGGGGCTCCAGAGCAGGCAGAGGGCCTGCTCAGGCCTGCTGGGTCCCAATCAGGCCTGAGGCCTGCTTTAATCTACTTGGTTCAAAGCCTCACATCTGAGGCCTTAGGGTGCTCCGGGCAGACAAGGGTCCCCTGGAGCATTATCGGCCCTGCATGGAGCCAACATGGACATGCTGATGCCTGCTCAGCCTTGGGGTCTTCTTAGACCTGTGGGGGCCTGATAAGATCTGGGGTGTCTGCCAGTGCTGGGGGCCTCCTTGAACCTGAAGCAAGTTTAGATGTGCACAGGCCAGTTAATGGCTGCAGGCTTTGGGGCTCAAGTTTCAGGCTTGAGGTCTGAGTACTCACTGAACCTCAGCTGCATGGGCCTCCCCCACCAAAGTTTGAGCACTGGGCATCACTGGCTCAAGCACTTTTGGGTTTTGTTTGTATCGAGGGACCTCAAGTCTTAGGCCTTGGCCACCTCCAGCCCCTAACCCAAAGTATGTCGCTCAGGCAGAGGTGGCTAGAATTCTATCTCTGTGTGTCCCTGGCGGGGTGCCTTCTATTTTGAAAGTTGGATGAGAGGAACAAGTGGGGCTACCAGGCCAGGTTTCAACTTGTCAGCCCCCTCGCAAGCGCGGAAGGGTAGGTATCAATCGCAATCTTGTGCTGGCGGCCCTGCCCCCTGCAGCCACCACAGGCAGGAGAGGGAAAGGTGCCCGGTGGACGGCGCTGCAAAGCCGACCTATGCCTCTCATCGCTCCAGGGGTTTGGGGCAGCGTTCTGGTCCCAGCCGAGCTCCAGTTCGTTTCGTGGTCCTTCTGTCTTAAGGACCTCAATCATAAAACCCACGTGTGTGCCAGAAGGACAGAAACGTCCCCTAGCCTCCTGGATGCTCCCACCCGCTGCGCAGCTGGCGTTCCGCGGGAAGGGCGGAGCCCAGGGAGGGGGCGCGTCATGGGCGGGACCTGGAGGAGTCAGACGGGGTGGGGTCTATCCCCGAGCCAGTGCTGAAAAAGGCGGAGGCGTTCGGGGCGGTCTCGGTGTGCTGGAAAGCGGTTCTGGTATTAGGAGGAGGCGTGACCACCCAATAGGCTTCTCTTCCCGCGGGGCGTGGCCGTCAAAGAGCTGGACGCCGCGCCTGGCTGGGCGGGTCAGCTGCGTAGCGGACGGCGTGGACTCGGCCGCGCAGCGGCTCCTTTAAGGCTCGGGCACCACCCCCGCCGCCCCGCCTCCCGCGCGGCCTGGGTCTAGTTTGCGGTGGGGTCGGGTCCGCGCTAACCGCGATGGAGCTGCACATCCTAGAACACCGGGTGCGGGTGCTGAGCGTCGCCCGTCCGGGTCTCTGGCTCTACACCCACCCGCTCATCAAGCTGCTCTTCCTGCCCCACCGCAGCCGGTGCGCGCCCGGGTTCGGGAGCGCAGATGGGGGCTGGGGGCTCTGCTGTCGCTCCGGGCCAGGGTCGGAGGATTAGGATCGCCGTAAGGCAGGCAGGCAGGCGGGCGGGAGCGGGTGGGGAGGGCTCTCCCGCTCCGGCCGCCATCCGGCCTGGGGGACCACAGCCTATCCGGCCCCGTGAGGCCCCCTCCGAGGGGCAAAGCGCAAACAGCCTGGGATGCGCAATGCTTAACTCAGTGGTGTCAAATGTGGGCATTCCTACCTGATCACTCCGGGGAGCTCCTTCCAGGACACCTCCCTTCAGGTCAGAGGGGCTGGACTAGGGGGTCCAAGGTCCGACGCCCCTAAGGCTGTCGCCGCGGGTGTGAACCTCTCCTCCCTCCAAGAGTGGAGGGGTGGAAGGCTCCTGGAGAGGTCGGGAGGCCGGAAAGTAGCCCCCAACCCCGGAGATGGGCCTAACATCCCATTGCCCTGGAAATTAAAGGCCGAGGGGGCAGGAAGGCGCTGGCCCGGGGTCGCGGGGGTGTCTGGGGCAGATGGAGAGACATCCACTCGCAATCCCCAGTTCTCCACACCAGACTGAAGATGCTCCCCACTCCCAACCAGGTGCAAGTTCTTCAGCCTGACGGAGACCCCTGAGGATTACACACTTATGGTGGATGAGGAGGGCTTTAAAGGTGGGGGCTGGTCTGGGGAACGGGAGTACGGGAGGGGCTTGTCGCGCTCCCCTTCTGTAGGGTTCTCACCAGTTGCTGGGATCCATCCCACGAGCTTAAGCCTTAAAAGCAGATATGTCAGGGTTCGAATCCTACTCCACCACTCCTTGGCTGTGTGCCCTTGAGCAAATCACTTCCCCTCTCTGAGCTGTTTTCTCTTATGTAAAATGGGTATAGTTCTGGTTCTGATAAACAGGGTCCCATGAGGGCTTTATAAACTCAAAACCGCTGAAGGGCACTCAGCAGTCTTAGGCCTGCAGGAGGGCCTCTGTTATGATTCCAGGCAAGTGGTGCTGTTAGAAGTCCCTGGGTATGATTTCCTCCTGGTCTTATCTCCCTGGTTTGGGTCACCTCCTCCCCTGCTGGTCTGGGAACTCCAGGAGTCCGAGGGAAGGAATGCAGGAGTAGGCAGCCATCTCAGGGGAGGGTCCTGGAGGCCTCCTGGCTGTGCTGGGGTGAATAGCAGTCACCCAGGCCCTGGCCCCTGCTCAGGACTGGACGCCAGCCTGGGCCCTCCCTGGGCCCTGGAGCTGACGCCTAGCTCCTCCTTCTGCTGCTGGCCCGGCCCATCCTCACAGGCTTGGAGTCTCAGGGGAGCTAGCTGGAGCTTGGCCTGTCCCCCTGCTCCACTGCAGGCCTTAGTTTCCCTGTTTTTACTTCAGGGAAGTCTGGGTCTGCAAAAGGGGAAAAGGCAGTCCCCCAGCCAACCTGATCTGCGAATGCCCCCTGGTGGTGCCCTGTGGTATAAAGCTTCTGCTAACCCACGGAAGACACGGTAGTGAGGTACATATTGTCGTCCCATTTTACAGATGAGGAAACTGAGACTCAAATCATCTGCCCCAGGTCACAAGACAAATTAACAAAGCTGGGATTTGAACCCAGGTCTGTCTGAATCTGAACCTCTGATCTTAAGTGGGAAGTTTCAATGCCACCAGGCCAGCACTTGAAGCCTTTCTCAGTCTTTGCACACATAGGGATTTCAGGAGCAGAACTGGGGGGAGACAGCCCCAGCTTGCAGACCTGCCCTTACCTTGATGGAGCCCTCCAAGGCACAAAGAGGGAAACCGAGGCTCAGAGAGGGGCAGGGGCCAGCCTTGCCAACCCTGACCTGACATATCCCCTGCCCACAGAGCTGCCCCCATCTGAGTTTCTGCAAGTAGCTGAGGCCACATGGCTGGTGCTGAACGTGTCGTCTCACAGCGGTGCGGCAGTGCAGGCTGCTGGGGTTACCAAGATCGCCCGCTCGGTCATCGCGCCACTGGCCGAGCACCACGTGTCTGTGCTGATGCTGTCCACTTACCAGACGGACTTCATCCTGGTGAGTTTCCTGCTGGTGCTGATGCAGAGCAGGGTGGATATAGGTACCTGGGAGCCCATGTGATGTGCCATCTGCTGTGGCCCAGGTGCGGGAGCAGGACCTGTCCGTGGTGATCCACACGCTGGCCCAGGAGTTCGACATTTACCGCGAGGTGGGCGGAGAGCCTGTGCCTGTGACGAGGGATGATTCCAGCAATGGCTTTCCCCGCACTCAGCATGGTGAGGGCCGCCCTCTGACACCTGGACTTGGGCAGGGCCTCCTCTTCCCACTGGATCCCTTCCCTTGTAGGCCGCAATGGGGCAGGAGGACCCTGGCCAGTTCCTGGATAACAAGACCCGCCCCTGGCCCACGCCTCTCCCTGGCTGGCCACCAGGGGGCGCCCCAGCCCACGGTCACCTTTTCACCTGCTGCTGTCCTCCAGCAGGGCTCAGCCCCACGGTGCATCCCATCCAGAGCCCACAGAACCGCTTCTGTGTCCTCACACTGGACCCTGAGACGCTTCCAGCCATCGCCACCACCCTCATAGATGTCCTCTTCTACTCGCACAGGTGGACCTTGGAACTTCGTCTTTGTCCTCACGCCACTGTTCCCTACACTCTGTCCCCCCACCTTCCACCCATCCATCAGTTTTGCAACTCTCCCTTGTCCTCTCTTGGGATTCCTGGCAGCCCATGACACTCACTTGTGCTTCAGTGATGTTCGGGGAAGGTTCTTGCCCCAAAGCTGGATCTCTTTCCAGTGGTGTCCTCTGAGCTGTGCCCTGGTCTGGCCCTCTAACCGTGGGGTCCTTTGTTTTTGGCACAGGCTGGGTTCATTGTCCTCCCCTATCCCCACCCACACCTTCCAGAGGGCTGGACCCTTGGGCGGGTAGCAGAGACAGCAGAGCCTGCCCAGGCCACCATGCCAGCTCCTTCCCAGGGTTCTGGAGGCTGATCGGGGTCCTCCAGCAGGGGCAGTAGGCTGGGTGCCTGGCAGAACCCCTAAACCTCCCATCCCTCCCCAGCACCCCCAAGGAGGCAGCCTCTAGCAGTCCTGAACCCAGCTCCATCACGTTCTTTGCCTTCTCCCTCATCGAGGGTTATATCTCCATTGTCATGGATGCTGAAACACAGAAAAAGTAGGTGACCCCTGACCCTGGGTGGGCCCCAGGCCCCAGCCAGTCCAGGCAGGGAGGAGGTGGGGCATCAGACTTTGAGGTCAGCAGGTGTACCTGTCCCAGAGCTCATGGTCAGGCAGGGGTGGATGGGGGTGCCCTGCCCATCACCCATCTCCTTCCCCAGGTTCCCCAGTGACCTGCTGCTGACCAGCTCCTCAGGGGAGCTGTGGAGGATGGTGCGCATTGGCGGACAGCCCCTGGGCTTTGGTGAGGGCCGTTCCCAGTGTTGGGGGGTTGGGGAGTGTCTGGGGAGCAACCGTCATGTGCCACATGTGCCCCTCCTCCACCACCCTTAGATGAATGTGGCATCGTGGCGCAGATTGCGGGTCCCCTGGCAGCCGCTGACATCTCTGCCTACTACATCAGCACCTTCAACTTCGACCACGCCCTGGTGAGCACCATGGGCTGGGGCTGGGGGAGCTCCTGAGGGGAGGGTGAGGCCCAGAAATGTGGGCGGCCGAAGGTAGTCTCAGCTGGGCCAGGAAGTCAGGGGTGGCCTTGGTCAGCTTCTGCCTTGACCCTTCCCTCCTGCCCACCTGCCCTCAGGTGCCCGAGGACGGTATCGGCAGCGTCATCGAGGTCCTCCAGCGGCGGCAGGAAGGCCTGGCTTCCTGAGTCCCATGGGGAACAGAGCAGCCACCCTGCTCTCCCCTCGACCCAGGCTTCCAAAGACTTCTCTAAAGCTATTTCCTTAAGCTCCGGAATGAGCCCCCTGTTCTGCCGGGGACCCTCGTTCTGCTCTCTGTATGTAAGCTGCGTGCGGGCACCGGCTTTTACGCAGACACCTGTGTGCATTCGCAGGTGGAGTGGGCAGGTGCTAGCCTGACTGCGTGTCTGCCCACACAGGGGAACACGGTGCTCGGGGCTTAAGCCCCCAACCCATCACTCCCTGCGCGGCCTCGGCGTTTGCACAGTCCCTGCCTGAGGCCCAAGCCACCCCCCTCAGCCTTCTTGGGCCAGCTGTCCCCCAGACAGGGCCCTGACCTCTGTTCTGCCTCTGGTGGGGTTGCCTTCCCTGGCCAGGTGAGTCCTGACAGTGCCTCCCCCTCTGGGGCCGCCGAGAAAAGCATTTTGACAATCTCTCTCTCTTCTGTTTTTATTGACTTGTTAATAAAGGACTTTGTAGTGACTGGGTTGGGCTACGGTCCTTGGGGGTCCTCTGGGTCTGAGTCTTAGCCATGGCTCCACCTCATGGTCCCCTCTATCTGAGGTCTTGGTCTCTCTCTGTGTAGCTGGCTGGGGACCGGGCTCACCTGGCTTCACCTCATTCACCTCTCACCACAGCTCAGTAAACTATCACCATTTTCCAGATGAGGAACCGAAGCTTTGAGAGGTGACATGACTTAGCCAAAGTCACATGATTCCCATTCCCATGCCTGCCTTTGAAATCTGGGCTGTTCCCAGATTTCAGAATAGCTTCCAGATAGCCCAGAGGGTTCTGAACCTGGGCAGAGACTCCCAGACCCTCCTATCTGGGGAGTCTCCCAGCTTTCCCTGTCACTGTGGATATAGCCAGCCTGCTATGAAACCCACCAAGGAGGGCCCAAAAGCACTTTTCTTTCTTCCAGCCCGCTGCCTGCTTTCTTCTAGCTCACTGCCTGCTTTCTTCTGGGCCTTGCCTGAGTTCTGGCTGTCCCTCTCGTTGGCTAAGAGATCAGTTGGTTCTTACCACCAGGGCTCTCCTGGAGTCACTCCTAAGGTTCAGGGCCAGGAGGACAGGACAGGGACCTGGAGGCCACCTGGAGCCCGCTCTGTCCTCGGGGGCCGCCACCCTGCTTGGTGAGGCTGGGATCCTGCCACGGCCTGATGAGGCCCCACAGATGCCCCAGGGAGACTATCGGGTACCCTCAGCCCAGACCCGCCCATGCTCAGGCAGGGAAGAAGGGTGTGACTTCTGTGTACCCAGAGGTCGTGGTGGCTCCTCAGAAAAGCCAGAACAGGGACAGGCCTCTGGCAATGCGCCCGCGCTGCTCCTGGGGACCAGGGGTCTGGGGCCTCGGGCTGCAGATCACAGGAGCCAAGAGCACAGCACAGCCTGGTGAGTGAGCAGCAGGGGCTGCCTGGGCCAGCCCTTCCCTCCAGCCTCAGTTTCCCCATGTGCATGGAGACCTAGGAGACAGCTCCTTCAGGAACATGGGGAAGGGGGCATTTCTTTGGAGTTTTTTTTTTTTTTTTTTTTTAAATGGAGTCTCGCTCTGTCACCCAGGCTGGAGTGCAGTGGCGCAATCTCAGCTCACTGCAAGCTTCGCCTCCCGGGTTCAAGAGATTCTCCTGTCTCAACCTCCTGAATAGCTGGGATTACAGCGGTCTGCCACGATTCCAGGCTAATTTTTGTATTTTTAGTAGAGACAGGGTTTCACCACATTGGCCAGGGTGGTCTTGAACTCCTGACCTCAAGTGATCCGCCTGCCTTGGCCTCCCAAAGTGCCACGCCAGGCCAAGTTTGTCTCTTGTTGGGGGGGTGAGGTTGGAGGGGGTGAGAGTCCCAGTTCCTCTCTTTTGAGGGTCTGGTGTGGGACCTGGCTTGGGGGATGTCTGGGCTTGAGGTGGGGGCTTCAGAGTCAGGATTCTTGGGGCTGCTTAACCTATAGCTAGCGGGCTCCCAGCCCCTCATCCAGCCCTGGGGGTCTCACCATCTGTCTGTCTGCCTGTGAGTCATTGCCTGGTTTGGTGTTCCTGTCACCCCGGCTCACCAAGGGCCTCAGGCCTCTCTTGGGTCCCTCATATCAAGTTCCAGCCTGGCCTCGGCTAGTTCTTGGGGTTGTCCAGGCGGCTGGCCTGGGTGAGGGGCCACGGGCACATCACTGCGGGCTGCTCTGACTCACACAGGCCTGAGGTCAGTGTGCCCGTGTGTCTCTGCCACATACCCGTGTGTCTGTGTGGAGGATTTTTAGCTCCTAGATAATAGGGTCCTGAGGGGTCACTGGGCCGGCTCTTCGCCTCCAGCAGGCTACAGATAGGGCCATCTTCCTAGGAGTGCTGGGGAGATCATGAGAGCAAGCTGGGCTCATGGGCACAGAGCTTGGGAGGTGTCCCAGGGACACACAGGTGAGAAGGTGGGGGGCGCCTTCCAGGAATGTGACCCTGAATCTTACACGCAGCTGATGCTGTGTGTCAGGTCAGACAGACTGACCTTGAGCTCTGTCAGGTTAAGGTGGAGACGCACAGAGCCACCTTGTTGTCCCATCCAGGCCCCCAGAGAGTCCTCGGGCACAGAAAGCTGGTCTGGTCAGCCTGGGTCTGGGGTTGGGCTCCATGTGGGTCATTCATAACCGAGGTTGGCGGCACTCTCTGGCACGCAGCCCACATCCTGCACCCTGGGAGCTCTTGGTCACCTGTCCACATCAGCACAGGCTGGGGAGCCGAAGTGCCTGTGTTCATAAAGATGGCAGCAGGTCCCAGGGAGGGGCCTGCCCACAGTCCCTCAGGGAGAGGGAAGGGGCTCTCAGCCCTCCAACTACCAGCCTAGTGCCCAGCATCTGCAGGGAGGATGTGGGCCTGGGTGGGTGGGGACGGGAGATGAGGAAACCTCAGCCAGGCAGAGTCAGCGGCTTACTTCCACCCTTTCTCATCTTCATGCCAAGACAGAGGAAGTGAACTCCTAAATTCCCCTCCTCTGAAATACTGGAGCAGAGATTCAGGATTTAAAGTCCTCATCTCCCTCCCAGGCAGGCGGGGCCGCCGGGTCCCGTGCTTGCCAAATGGTTCCACAGCTGGCTTTTTGGTCCTCTGTAGAGGTGAGATGAAACTGTATGTGCTCTTCATCTTCCTCTGGGACCCAGGATTCTGCCCAGTGGGAAGGGCCTCAGCAGGAGGCAGGAGAAAAGGGAGAAAGGAGTAGCAGGGGACGCTGAGCCATCTGTGGCTGGCTTACTGAGCAAGCACAGGGAAGCCGCTTCCCTCATTTGCCTGTACGGGAGGGCAGGTGTTGTGCTTGGTTAATTCACATCCATACAGTCTACATGTTGCTTAAGGAGAGGCGATATGTTCTGAGAAATGCATCATTAGGCGATTTGGTTGTTGTGTGAACATTATAGAGTGTACTCACACAAACCTAGCTGGGCTAGCCTGTTGCTCCTGGGCTACAAACCTGTACAGCATGTTTCTGTAGTGAATACTGTAGGCAGTTGTAATGCAATGGCAAGCGCTTGTGTACCTAAACATAGACAAGGCACAGTAAAAATGCGGTATAAAAAAAGCATAACCAGGTGTGGTGGCTCACCGTGTAACCCCAGCACTTTGGGAGGTTGAGGCAGGAGAAGCATTTGAGCCTAGGAGTTTTACCCAGGTGGAGACCAGTCTGGACAGCATGGCAAAAGCCCATCTATACAATAATAATAATAATTTTAAAATAGCTGGGCATGTGGCTCACATCTGTAATCCCAGCAGTTTGGGAGGCTGAGGCGGGTGGATCACGAGGTCAAGAGATTGAGACCATCCTGGCCAACATGGTGAAACCCCTTCCCTACCAAAAAAAAGTAGCTGGGTGTGGTGGCACGTGCCTGTAGTCCCAGCTACCAGGGAGACTGAGGCAGGAGAATCACTTGAATCTGGGAGGCGGAGGTTGCAGTGAGCCGAGATCACACCACTGCAATCCAGCCTGAGTGACAGAATGAGAGACTCTGTCTAAAAAAAAAAAAAAAAAAAGGCTGGGCATGGTGGTGTGTGCCTGTAGTCCTAGCTATGCAGCTACTCAAGAGGCTGAGGAGGGAGGATCACTTGAGTCCAGGAGTTGAAGGCTGCAGTGAGTTATGATCATGCCACTGCACTCCAGCCTGGGCGACAGAGCAAGACTCTGTCTCTCAATAAATTAATTAATTATAAAAACAGTACACCCACCGGGCGTGGTGGCTCACGCCTGTAATCCCAACACTTTGGGAGGCTGAGGTGGGCAGATCACGAGTTGAGGAGTTTGTGACCAGCCTGGCCAACATGGTGAAACCCCATCTCTACTAAAAATACAAAAATTAGCCAGGCCTGGTGGTGCACGCCTGTAATCCTAGCTACTCAGGAGGCTGAGGCAGGACAATTGCTTGAACCCAGAAGGCGTAGGTTGCAGTGAGCTGAGATCACACCACTGCATTCCCGCCTGGGGGACAGAGGGAGACTCCATCTCAGAAACAAAACAAAACAAAATAAAAAATACCGGTATAGGACACTTACCATGAATAAAGCTTGCAAGACTAGAAGTTGCTCGGAATGAGTCAGTGAGTGAGTGGTGAGTGAATGTGAAGGCTTAGGACATTACCATACATTACTGTAGACTTGATAAACACTGTATACGTAGGCTACACTAAATTTATTAAAAATATTTTTCTTTCTTCAATGATAAATGAACTTTCACTTACTGTAACGTTTTACTTTGTAAACTTTTATTTTTTTTAATTTTTAACTCTTGTATTAACACTCAGCTTAAAACACATTGTACAGCTATACAAAAATATTTCTTTATATCCTTACTGCATAAGCTTTTTTCTATTTTAAAATTAAAATTTTTAAAACTTTTTAAACATTTTTGTTGAAAAACTAAGACCAAGCTGGGCACAGTGAGTCATGTCTATAATCCTAGCACTTTGGGAGGCCAAAGCAGGACTACCTGAGCCCAGGAATTCGAGACCAGTGTGGGTAACATGGCAAGACCCCGTCTCTACAAAAACTAAAAATTAGCTGGGATACTGGTACACACCTGTGCTCCCAGCTACTCAGGAGGCTGGAGTGAGAGGATTGCTTGAGCTCAGGAGGTCAAGACTGCAGTGAACTGTGTGTGTGCCACTGCACTCTAGCCTGGGCAACAGAGCAAGACCCTGTCTCAAAAAATAAAAACAAAAACCCACCAAAACTATGAACAGCACGCACACACTAACACACTAGCCTAGGTCTATACAAGGTCGGATCATCCAGACATCACTAGACGACAGGAAACTTTGAACTCTATTATAATCTTATAGGACCACCATCACATATGTGGTTCATCATTGACAAAAATGTTATGCGGTGCATGACTGTATATTCAACACATGCTCTTGTTATTCCTGTTTTACCCAGGTGGACATGAAGCACAGAGAGGTGAAGTGCCTTGCCCAATGTCACACAGCTGGGCAATGCGGAACCAGAATTCCAAAAGAAGGTT